GTCCCACCAATCAACCCTCTCACACGCGGCAAGCCAACCACATTCTTGGATACCCCGCACATCACCCCCTTCCCTCCCCCCCATTTCCTTTCCCCGTTGGCAGGGGTAAGGTTACGTGCTCTGTAGTTGTTTCTTGTTTTAGAAAATTTGAATTTCAAACTTCAACTCCTCCTCCTCCTTACCATTTCTACCCTCGCCAAAACTCCCGCGTCGCATGCCGAGCCACCACTCGCTGCGACCGCTGTCGCAGGTTTGGTGCAGTGTCCAATCATGGTGCGTGCAACTTCACTCGTTATAGCACTCTCATTAGTGGCTCCTTCACTGGAAACTTATCTCCTTTGTATTGTCACGGTCGCTTTTCATATAAATATAGTAGCTGGGCGTCTTGCTGGCTATACGTTTCGTTTAACTGGCTCTACCCTAGAAGTCATGGCGCCTGGCAAATCTAAAAACCTTGTCCCTGATTCTTTGAAAATGCACCAGACTCGATCAACGCTTCCGCGGAAGAGCAAGGAACGGCACATGTTCTTCCCGTCCCCCGCAACAGGTAACTTTACTCTTTTCTGTGTTACACTAGCGTTCGATACAGTTATGTCTATAACTATCTGTGTTTCTTCTATTTATTTTCTCTTTACCTTGCAGGAGCCAACACTGAAAAACAGACGGAGGAACCACCGGCTGGTCGTCACCCTACCGGCCAGCGTCAAAAGACTCTTCGTCGTAGCCTCGAAGATGTCAACGCTGCTGCCGGCGCTGGAACGTCTGAGCCTTCGCCGACAACTGGTGTCGCTCCGTCCCAGCCCGCCAAGGCTCCGGGCCAGCCCGCCAAGGCTCCGGGCCAGCCCGCCAAGGCTCTGGCACAGCCCGCCAAGGCTCCGGGGCAGCCCGCCAAGGCTCCGGACCAGCCTGTCAAGGCTCCTGCAGTCCCTGCCGACACTGCTGGTGATCCCGAAGGCTTCGGTGACGGTGGTCATCCCCCTGCTGCCATCGAAACTATCGAGATTTGTGTCGCTATCGTAGCGGACAAGGAACCCGCTGCTGAAAAAGGTGATCACACTTGTGCTCACTTTTCTCAGCCTTGCATTTTGTCGCCTGCAACTATGACTAATGTTTCTGTTCCGTAACTGTTTTTGCCCACCAACAGAAAGGGCCGATGCCAGCCCGATGGAGTTAATCATGTCACGCGCGAAAGGTCGGGTGTACGCTACTAAGGCCGCAACTTATGACGAGGAAGAGCGCGACGAACCCCAGGTGAACGACGAGCTGGTAGCCAAGGCGGGTGCTCAAAAGGCGATCGCGGAAACATATCGCAAGGAGAACACGTGTAGGGCGGAGGAATTAAAAGACTGCCTCGTGCTTATAACGCACCTTGCTAAGAAGGCCACGGAAGTTGACGCGTCCACTCTCACCTGGGAGGTAATTTCGAATATTATAGTAGCATTCCATTCCTCTAGAAACGTCGGATTACTAACTTCTTATCTTTTGCGTGCAGGTGTACACCAAGAAGTCTTGCGATGAGTTTCTGTTCGACCGAGAGAAGCTCAATCTCTGTCCCGATGCTGATGACATGCTGAAGTCCCTCATAAGTAAGGTTTGCGTGCTGTTTAATCTATTGTCACTGTCAGCTTCTGGAAGCTGACGATTTTTTTTTGTATGCAGGGCATTCGGGCCACACGCCTGACTCACCCGAAGGCTTGAAAGTGGCTGCGATTGCGACGTCGCAAGGCAAGCTGAGGCATGTCTGTGTGCGTTTCAATGATCGCATCGGTAAGATCTACCGATTTACCCGCATCCATGCCTTCACTAACGAGCCTTGTGTCTTCATGGGTGAGAAGCGTAGCCTGAAGGGCCTGATTATTTACCACGAGCCCAAGGGTTTCCCTCGCATGTGCGAACTCTATGTCATCGCCAACGACTCTAGTAAGTAGGTTGCTTTTCTGCTTTCTGTAGCAACCGTAAACCAGTATCTGACCCTTTTTTTGTCACCCTGCAGAGTTGTTCGGCTTACCCTGGCATGTCCTGAACGGAGTCCCGTTTTCCACCGACGGTTTTGTTCAATGTGCTGCTCTCTGGGACTCTGAGTGGGACGGGTCCCTCCCGATTGCCTTGTTTCCTGAGCAGCTTCTTGTGCTGCTTGCAGTGGTGAGTTCTCTAGTTTTACCGTTGGTGGTTTATCCTAATGTAATGCTAACAACTCTTGTCGTTACTGTGTCAGGTGCGTTCCAAATTGTGCAATCCCTGCTGCAAGGCGCAGTTCACGCGTTCCGGGGATCCTGGAGCTCTCGCCAGGCAGGCACGGGTGGTGCAGCGTTGGATCAACGCCACCCAAGTTAAGCGCGAGGGAGAGTGCATTGGCATCGGGAAGTTGTGCATCGTCGGTTGGACCGACATTTCTGACGAGGAGCTCGAGGGGGATGAGCTTGGTGACCTGTCCCCTGAAGATCTTGTCCCGACCAGCGCTCATCGCAGGGTTCATGACCCGAACGAGGTGCAGAAAGAACTGTTTTAGATTTAGCTTGTGTAGGTGTAGTTACTGTTGCTATGTATAGGTGTAGGTGTAGTTACTGTATTCCTACGTATGCTGTGTATGCAGTGTCAGTATAGTATAAATCTAATGCTGAACAACTCAGTTAATGTTATTATTAAGTACTGTAAATTCGGTGGTGGCATTTTTTTAGATTATATCGAATTTAGCATTCGATTATGTCACGTCCGATTACGTCACGTCCGTCACATGCACAATTGCCGCCTCAAAGAACACCATTGAATTTTATCTGGAAAACCAATACATGCTGTCTTCCGCTTCATCATTTCAATTGACTGGCATCACTTTCGCTAAAGGAACACTTTCGAAGGTGACGTGTAAAAAATAACGACGCTAGGTCAACATCCAGATTCCAATTACCGAAACAGTGTTTATCGAGTCGATTTTGCTGACGCGACAACCAATCGGAAAAAAATTTGCGCCCACTACCGAACAAACAGCTGTCTGCATTCAGTTCGCCGAAATTATCCAAGCCAAATCTTCAGGTTTGGCAGCCAGTTGCTCCACCACTCGAAACCTTCTCGCGAGCAACAAGCTACTAAACGCAAACCACACTCTTCATCCGGGCGTGCAGTCGAAAACCAATCGCTTACGACTGGTTTCCAACTTGGAAACCACACCCGCTCTTTTCCCGATGAGGGGATGCAAAGATGCAAACTGTGTTCTTTCTCGCTCGCGCGGGCTGCAATTTGCTGCTGTGAGAAGGACAGCAAGCTCCGTCTTGGCAGAAAGTGGCGAAACCTGGCTGTCCTTCCCTTGTCCCCACTCTCCTCCCTGTCCGCCTCTCTACGTAGCGTCTACCTTGTCCTCCTCTCTCCCACTCTGCCCCCCTCTCTCCCCCCTGTCCTCCTCTCTCTCCCCTGTCCTCCTCTCTCTCCCCTGCCCTCCTCTCTCCTGATTGTCCTCCAATCCGATGGGTTTAGGTACCTCTCTCCTCCTTGTCCTCCAATCTCGCCCCTGCTTGCACCCATGCACTCAGTTTCCCCTCCTGTTTGCACCCGGCTTCACCTCCACTTTGCACTCAGCTTTCCCCGCTGCCTGCAACCTGTTTCCCCCCCTATGTGCACTCAGTTTACCACCCTGTTTGCCCTCAATTCCCTCCCTTGTTTGCCCTCAGTTACACCTCCTGGGTGCACTCATTTCCCCCCGCCCCCCACTTTGCACTCATTACGATGCCCCCCTGTGTCCACTCAACGTCCCCCATACGCGTCACCTCCTCACCCTCTCTCCCCTCTTTCTAACTCCGTCGATCACTTTTCCACCTCCTGCTTCCCCTCCTTTTCCCCCCTACTTCCCCTCTTTTTCCCACTGCTTCTCCTCGTTTCCCCCCCGATTGACCCTCTTTCCAACCCCTTCATCCACGTTTTCCCCCCTGCTTCCCCTCATTTCTCCCTTGTCCTCTTCTCTCCCACCTTGTCCTTCAAACTCCCCCCATCATTCCCTTCCCTCCTTCCCATCATTTCTCCCTTTTCCTCCCTTCTCCCCCTTGTCCTCTGCTCTCACCCTGCCCTCCTCACTCCCCCTGTCCTCCCTTCTCCCCCCTGTCCTCTGCTCTCCCCCCTGTCCTCTGCTCTCCCCCCTGTCCTCCCAGGTCGCACCTCCCCATTTCATAGCGCACCTTCTCACTCCCTCACAATGCACTACCCCTCTCTTCTCATCGCTTCCATTCCCCTCCAATCCCATCTATTCCCTTCGCTTCCCTTCTCTTCCCTGCTTTCGTCCTCCCTTCCCTTCCCCTTTTATTCCGTTTCCATTCTCTTCCCTTCCTTTCCCTTCCCTTCCCTTCCATGCGCGTCTCTTCCGCTCCCTGCCTCCCCTTCGTTCTACCTGCCTCCCCATCTCTCCTCCCTGCATCACCATGTGAGTGTGCTACCGCCTCTAGTGTCCTGCTATGTGCAGGATGAAGCCGTGCCTTCGCATGGGAGAGAGCAGGGCAGTGGGGCGGAAGGGAGGAAGAGGGGAGCGGAGGGGAGGAGGGGGGAGACATGGCGGAACTGAGGCGGCAGGTGACGATGCCAGGGGGCGCCACATCGCCGCCTCGCCTACTCAGCAAGTAATCGCCGCCCCACCGCCGCCACATCGCCGCATCGCCGCCACATCGCTGCCTCTCCCCCCTGTCCTTCTCTCTCCCCGCTGTCCTTCTCTCTCCCCGCTGTCCTTCTCTCTCCCCCCTGTCCTTCTCTCTACCCCTGCCCTTCTCTCTCCCCCCTGTCCTTCTCTCTCCCCCCTGTCCTTCTCTCTTCCCCCTGTCCTCCTCTCTCCCCATCCAACCTCGCCCCATTCATCCTCACCCCATCTCCTCCTCACCCCATTCCACCTCACTCCATTCCGCCCCACCCCATTCCGCCTCACCCCATTCCACCTCACCCCATTCCGCCCCACCCCATTCCACCTCACCCCATTCCGCCCCACCCCATTCCGCCCCACCTCATTCCGCCCCACCCCATTCCGCCTCAACCAATACGTCACCCACCCACCCGCCATAGCCGCCCTTCCTCTCCCTCTCATTGCCTCTCGCGGAATCTGGTCACCCCGCCTTGATCTCCCTGCCATCTTACTTCGCACCCCCCTCTTCTCCTCTTCTCTTCTCTTACTTTGCCATCCCCCTCTTCCCTTCCTTCCTCCTCAACCCATCTCCTCCTCACCCTCCTGTTCCTCCTTTCATGCATCCTTTCAGTCCTCTGTTCCTCCTTTCATGCATCCTTTCAGTCCTCTGTTCCTCCTTTCATGCATCCTTTCAGTCCCCTGTTCCTCCTTTCATGCATCCTTTCAGTCCCCTGTTCCTCCCTTCATGCATCCTTTCAGTCCTCTGTTCCTCCTTTCATGCATCCTTTCAGTCCTCTGTTCCTCCTTTCATGCATCCTTTCAGTCCTCTGTTCCTCCTTTCATGCATCCTTTCAGTCCTCTGTTCCTCCTTTCATGCATCCTTTCAGTCCTCTGTTCCTCCTTTCATGCATCCTTTCAGTCCTCTGTTCCTCCTTTCATGCATCCTTTCAGTCCTCTGTTCCTCCTTTCATGCATCCTTTCAGTCCTCTGTTCCTCCTTTCATGCATCCTTTCAGTCCCCTGTTCCTCCTTTCATGCATCCTTTCAGTCCCCTGTTCCTCCTTTCATGCATCCTTTCAGTCCTCTGTTCCTCCCTTCATGCATCCTTTCAGTCCCCTGTTCCTCCTTTCATGCATCCTTTCAGTCCTCTGTTCCTCCCTTCATGCATCCTTTCAGTCCCCTGTTCCTCCTTTCATGCATCCTTTCAGTCCTCTGTTCCTCCTTTCATGCATCCTTTCAGTCCTCTGTTCCTCCTTTCATGCATCCTTTCAGTCCTCTGTTCCTCCTTTCATGCATCCTTTCAGTCCTCTGTTCCTCCTTTCATGCATCCTTTCAGTCCTCTGTTCCTCCTTTCATGCATCCTTTCAGTCCTCTGTTCCTCCTTTCATGCATCCTTTCAGTCCTCTGTTCCTCCTTTCATGCATCCTTTCAGTCCTCTGTTCCTCCTTTCATGCATCCTTTCAGTCCTCTGTTCCTCCTTTCATGCATCCTTTCAGTCCTCTGTTCCTCCTTTCATGCATCCTTTCAGTCCTCTGTTCCTCCTTTCATGCATCCTTTCAGTCCTCTGTTCCTCCTTTCATGCATCCTTTCAGTCCTCTGTTCCTCCTTTCATGCATCCTTTCAGTCCTCTGTTCCTCCTTTCATGCATCCTTTCAGTCCTCTGTTCCTCCTTTCATGCATCCTTTCAGTCCTCTGTTCCTCCCTTCATGCATCCTTTCAGTCCTCTGTTCCTCCTTTCATGCATCCTTTCAGTCCTCTGTTCCTCCCTTCATGCATCCTTTCAGTCCTCTGTTCCTCCTTTCATGCATCCTTTCAGTCCTCTGTTCCTCCCTTCATGCATCCTTTCAGTCCTCTGTTCCTCCTTTCATGCATCCTTTCAGTCCTCTGTTCCTCCCTTCATGCATCCTTTCAGTCCTCTGTTCCTCCTTTCATGCATCCTTTCAGTCCTCTGTTCCTCCCTTCATGCATCCTTTCAGTCCTCTGTTCCTCCTTTCATGCATCCTTTCAGTCCTCTGTTCCTCCTTTCATGCATCCTTTCAGTCCTCTGTTCCTCCTTTCATGCATCCTTTCAGTCCTCTGTTCCTCCCTTCATGCATCCTTTCAGTCCTCTGTTCCTCCTTTCATGCATCCTTTCAGTCCTCTGTTCCTCCCTTCATGCATCCTTTCAGTCCTCTGTTCCTCCCTTCATGCATCCTTTCAGTCCTCTGTTCCTCCCTTCATGCATCCTTTCAGTCCTCTGTTCCTCCTTTCATGCATCCTTTCAGTCCTCTGTTCCTCCCTTCATGCATCCTTTCAGTCCTCTGTTCCTCCTTTCATGCATCCTTTCAGTCCTCTGTTCCTCCTTTCATGCATCCTTTCAGTCCTCTGTTCCTCCTTTCATGCATCCTTTCAGTCCTCTGTTCCTCCCTTCATGCATCCTTTCAGTCCTCTGTTCCTCCTTTCATGCATCCTTTCAGTCCTCTGTTCCTCCTTTCATGCATCCTTTCAGTCCTCTGTTCCTCCCTTCATGCATCCTTTCAGTCCTCTGTTCCTCCTTTCATGCATCCTTTCAGTCCTCTGTTCCTCCTTTCATGCATCCTTTCAGTCCTCTGTTCCTCCCTTCATGCATCCTTTCAGTCCTCTGTTCCTCCTTTCATGCATCCACTCAGTCCTCTGTTCCTCCCTTCCCTTCATGCATCCTTTCAGTCCTCTGTTCCTCCTTTCATGCATCCTTTCAGTCCTCTGTTCCTCCTTTCATGCATCCTTTCAGTCCTCTGTTCCTCCTTTCATGCATCCTTTCAGTCCTCTGTTCCTCCCTTCATGCATCCTTTCAGTCCTCTGTTCCTCCCTTCCCTTATCCTTTCAGTCCTCTGTTCCTCCTTTCATGCATCCTTTCAGTCCTCTGTTCCTCCGTTCATGCATCCTTTCAGTCCTCTGTTCCTCCTTTCATGCATCCTTTCAGTCCTCTGTTCCTCCCTTCATGCATCCTTTCAGTCCTCTGTTCCTCCTTTCATGCATCCTTTCAGTCCTCTGTTCCTCCTTTCATGCATCCTTTCAGTCCTCTGTTCCTCCCTTCATGCATCCTTTCAGTCCTCTGTTCCTCCTTTCATGCATCCTTTCAGTCCTCTGTTCCTCCTTTCATGCATCCTTTCAGTCCTCTGTTCCTCCCTTCATGCATCCTTTCAGTCCTCTGTTCCTCCTTTCATGCATCCTTTCAGTCCTCTGTTCCTCCTTTCATGCATCCTTTCAGTCCTCTGTTCCTCCTTTCATGCATCCTTTCAGTCCTCTGTTCCTCCTTTCATGCATCCTTTCAGTCCTCTGTTCCTCCCTTCATGCATCCTTTCAGTCCTCTGTTCCTCCCTTCATGCATCCTTTCAGTCCTCTGTTCCTCCTTTCATGCATCCTTTCAGTCCTCTGTTCCTCCTTTCATGCATCCTTTCAGTCCTCTGTTCCTCCTTTCATGCATCCTTTCAGTCCTCTGTTCCTCCTTTCATGCATCCTTTCAGTCCTCTGTTCCTCCTTCCTCCCTTCATGCATCCTTTCAGTCCTCTGTTCCTCCCTTCATGCATCCTTTCAGTCCTCTGTTCCTCTGTTCCTCCCTTCATGCATCCTTTCAGTCCTCTGTTCCTCCTTTCATGCATCCTTTCAGTCCTCTGTTCCTCCTTTCATGCATCCTTTCAGTCCTCTGTTCCTCCTTTCATGCATCCTTTCAGTCCTCTATTCCTCCTTTCATGCATCCTTTCAGTCCTCTGTTCCTCCCTTCATGCATCCTTTCAGTCCTCTGTTCCTCCCTTCATGCATCCTTTCAGTCCTCTGTTCCTCCTTTCATGCATCCTTTCAGCCCTCTGTTCCTCCTTTCATTCATCCTTTCAGCCCTCTGTTCCTCCCTTCATGCATCCTTTCAGCCCTCTGTTCCTCCTTTCATGCATCCTTTCAGCCCTCTGTTCCTCCTTTCATGCATCCTTTCAGCCCTCTGTTCCTCCCTTCATGCATCCTTTCAGCCCTCTGTTCCTCCTTTCATGCATCCTTTCAGCCCTCTGTTCCTCCTTTCATGCATCCTTTCAGCCCTCTGTTCCTCCCTTCATGCATCCTTTCAGCCCTCTGTTCCTCCCTTCATGCATCCTTTCAGCCCTCTGTTCCTCCTTTCATGCATCCTTTCAGCCCTCTGTTCCTCCCTTCATGCATCCTTTCAGCCCTCTGTTCCTCCCTTCATGCATCCTTTCAGCCCTCTGTTCCTCCTTTCATGCATCCTTTCAGCCCTCTGTTCCTCCCTTCATGCATCCTTTCAGCCCTCTGTTCCTCCTTTCATGCATCCTTTCAGCCCTCTGTTCCTCCTTTCATGCATCCTTTCAGCCCTCTGTTCCTCCCTTCATGCATCCTTTCAGCCCTCTGTTCCTCCTTTCATGCATCCTTTCAGCCCTCTGTTCCTCCCTTCATGCATCCTTTCAGCCCTCTGTTCCTCCTTTCATGCATCCTTTCAGCCCTCTGTTCCTCCCTTCATGCATCCTTTCAGCCCTCTGTTCCTCCTTTCATGCATCCTTTCAGCCCTCTGTTCCTCCCTTCATGCATCCTTTCAGCCCTCTGTTCCTCCTTTCATGCATCCTTTCAGCCCTCTGTTCCTCCCTTCATGCATCCTTTCAGCCCTCTGTTCCTCCTTTCATGCATCCTTTCAGCCCTCTGTTCCTCCTTTCATGCATCCTTTCAGCCCTCTGTTCCTCCTTTCATGCATCCTTTCAGCCCTCTGTTCCTCCTTTCATGCATCCTTTCAGCCCTCTGTTCCTCCTTTCATGCATCCTTTCAGCCCTCTGTTCCTCCTTTCATGCATCCTTTCAGCCCTCTGTTCCTCCTTTCATGCATCCTTTCAGCCCTCTGTTCCTCCTTTCATGCATCCTTTCAGCCCTCTGTTCCTCCTTTCATGCATCCTTTCAGCCCTCTGTTCCTCCTTTCATGCATCCTTTCAGCCCTCTGTTCCTCCTTTCATGCATCCTTTCAGCCCTCTGTTCCTCCCTTCATGCATCCTTTCAGCCCTCTGTTCCTCCCTTCATGCATCCTTTCAGCCCTCTGTTCCTCCTTTCATGCATCCTTTCAGCCCTCTGTTCCTCCTTTCATGCATCCTTTCAGCCCTCTGTTCCTCCTTTCATGCATCCTTTCAGCCCTCTGTTCCTCCTTTCATGCATCCTTTCAGCCCTCTGTTCCTCCTTTCATGCATCCTTTCAGCCCTCTGTTCCTCCTTTCATGCATCCTTTCAGCCCTCTGTTCCTCCTTTCATGCATCCTTTCAGCCCTCTGTTCCTCCTTTCATGCATCCTTTCAGCCCTCTGTTCCTCCTTTCATGCATCCTTTCAGCCCTCTGTTCCTCCCTTCATGCATCCTTTCAGCCCTCTGTTCCTCCTTTCATGCATCCTTTCAGCCCTCTGTTCCTCCTTTCATGCATCCTTTCAGCCCTCTGTTCCTCCTTTCATGCATCCTTTCAGCCCTCTGTTCCTCCTTTCATGCATCCTTTCAGCCCTCTGTTCCTCCCTTCATGCATCCTTTCAGCCCTCTGTTCCTCCTTTCATGCATCCTTTCAGCCCTCTGTTCCTCGTTTCATGCATCCTTTCAGCCCTCTGTTCCTCCTTTCATGCATCCTTTCAGCCCTCTGTTCCTCCTTTCATGCATCCTTTCAGCCCTCTGTTCCTCCTTTCATGCATCCTTTCAGCCCTCTGTTCCTCCTTTCATGCATCCTTTCAGCCCTCTGTTCCTCCTTTCATGCATCCTTTCAGCCCTCTGTTCCTCCTTTCATGCATCCTTTCAGCCCTCTGTTCCTCCTTTCATGCATCCTTTCAGCCCTCTGTTCCTCCTTTCATGCATCCTTTCAGTCCTCTGTTCCTCCGTTCATGCATCCTTTCAGTCCTCTGTTCCTCCTTTCATGCATCCTTTCAGTCCTCTGTTCCTCCCTTCATGCATCCTTTCAGTCCTCTGTTCCTCCTTTCATGCATCCTTTCAGTCCTCTGTTCCTCCTTTCATGCATCCTTTCAGTCCTCTGTTCCTCCTTTCATGCATCCTTTCAGTCCTCTGTTCCTCCTTTCATGCATCCTTTCAGTCCTCTGTTCCTCCTTTCATGCATCCTTTCAGTCCTCTGTTCCTCCTTTCATGCATCCTTTCAGTCCTCTGTTCCTCCTTTCATGCATCCTTTCAGTCCTCTGTTCCTCCTTTCATGCATCCTTTCAGTCCTCTGTTCCTCCCTTCATGCATCCTTTCAGTCCTCTGTTCCTCCTTTCATGCATCCTTTCAGTCCTCTGTTCCTCCCTTCATGCATCCTTTCAGTCCTCTGTTCCTCCCTTCATGCATCCTTTCAGTCCTCTGTTCCTCCCTTCATGCATCCTTTCAGTCCTCTGTTCCTCCCTTCATGCATCCTTTCAGTCCTCTGTTCCTCCCTTCATGCATCCTTTCAGTCCTCTGTTCCTCCCTTCATGCATCCTTTCAGTCCTCTGTTCCTCCCTTCATGCATCCTTTCAGTCCTCTGTTCCTCCCTTCATGCATCCTTTCAGTCCTCTGTTCCTCCTTTCATGCATCCTTTCAGTCCTCTGTTCCTCCTTTCATGCATCCTTTCAGTCCTCTGTTCCTCCTTTCATGCATCCTTTCAGTCCTCTGTTCCTCCTTTCATGCATCCTTTCAGTCCTCTGTTCCTCCTTTCCTCTGTTCCTCCCTTCATGCATCCTTTCAGTCCTCCCTCTGTTCCTCCCTTCATGCATCCTTTCAGTCCTCCCTCTGTTCCTCCCTTCATGCATCCTTTCAGTCCTCCCTCTGTTCCTCCTTTCATGCATCCTTTCAGTCCTCTGTTCCTCCCTTCATGCATCCTTTCAGTCCTCTGTTCCTCCCTTCATGCATCCTTTCAGTCCTCTGTTCCTCCTTTCATGCATCCTTTCAGTCCTCTGTTCCTCCCTTCATGCATCCTTTCAGTCCTCTGTTCCTCCCTTCATGCATCCTTTTAGTCCTCTGTTCCTCCTTTCATGCATCCTTTCAGTCCTCTGCTCTGTTCCTCCCTTCATGCATCCTTTCAGTCCTCTGCTCTGTTCCTCCCTTCATGCATCCTTTCAGTCCTCCCTCTGTTCCTCCCTTCATGCATCCTTTCAGTCCTCCCTCCCTCCTTTCATGCATCCTTTCAGTCCTCTGTTCCTCCTTTCATGCATCCTTTCAGTCCTCTGTTCCTCCTTTCATGCATCCTTTCAGTCCTCTGTTCCTCCTTTCATGCATCCTTTCAGTCCTCTGTTCCTCCCTTCATGCATCCTTTCAGTCCTCTGTTCCTCCTTTCATGCATCCTTTCAGTCCTCTGTTCCTCCTTTCATGCATCCTTTCAGTCCTCTGTTCCTCCTTTCATGCATCCTTTCAGTCCTCTGTTCCTCCCTTCATGCATCCTTTCAGTCCTCTGTTCCTCCCTTCATGCATCCTTTCAGTCCTCTGTTCCTCCTTTCATGCATCCTTTCAGTCCTCTGTTCCTCCTTTCATGCATCCTTTCAGTCCTCTGTTCCTCCTTTCATGCATCCTTTCAGTCCTCTGTTCCTCCTTTCATGCATCCTTTCAGTCCTCTGTTCCTCCTTTCATGCATCCTTTCAGTCCTCTGTTCCTCCCTTCATGCATCCTTTCAGTCCTCTGTTCCTCCTTTCATGCATCCTTTCAGTCCTCTGTTCCTCCTTTCATGCATCCTTTCAGTCCTCTGTTCCTCCTTTCATGCATCCTTTCAGTCCTCTGTTCCTCCCTTCATGCATCCTTTCAGTCCTCTGTTCCTCCTTTCATGCATCCTTTCAGTCCTCTGTTCCTCCGTTCATGCATCCTTTCAGTCCTCTGTTCCTCCTTTCATGCATCCTTTCAGTCCTCTGTTCCTCCTTTCATGCATCCTTTCAGTCCTCTGTTCCTCCTTTCATGCATCCTTTCAGTCCTCTGTTCCTCCTTTCATGCATCCTTTCTGTCCTCTGTTCCTCCTTTCATGCATCCTTTCAGTCCTCTGTTCCTCCTTTCATGCATCCTTTCAGTCCTCTGTTCCTCCTTTCATGCATCCTTTCAGTCCTCTGTTCCTCCCTTCATGCATCCTTTCAGTCCTCTGTTCCTCCCTTCATGCATCCTTTCAGTCCTCTGTTCCTCCTTTCATGCATCCTTTCAGTCCTCTGTTCCTCCTTTCATGCATCCTTTCAGTCCTCTGTTCCTCCTTTCATGCATCCTTTCAGTCCTCTGTTCCTCCTTCCTCCCTTCATGCATCCTTTCAGTCCTCTGTTCCTCCTTCCTCCCTTCATGCATCCTTTCAGTCCTCTGTTCCTCTGTTCCTCCCTTCATGCATCCTTTCAGTCCTCTGTTCCTCCTTTCATGCATCCTTTCAGTCCTCTGTTCCTCCTTTCATGCATCCTTTCAGTCCTCTGTTCCTCCTTTCATGCATCCTTTCAGTCCTCTGTTCCTCCTTTCATGCATCCTTTCAGTCCTCTGTTCCTCCCTTCATGCATCCTTTCAGTCCTCTGTTCCTCCCTTCATGCATCCTTTCAGTCCTCTGTTCCTCCTTTCATGCATCCTTTCAGCCCTCTGTTCCTCCTTTCATGCATCCTTTCAGCCCTCTGTTCCTCCCTTCATGCATCCTTTCAGCCCTCTGTTCCTCCTTTCATGCATCCTTTCAGCCCTCTGTTCCTCCTTTCATGCATCCTTTCAGCCCTCTGTTCCTCCTTTCATGCATCCTTTCAGCCCTCTGTTCCTCCCTTCATGCATCCTTTCAGCCCTCTGTTCCTCCCTTCATGCATCCTTTCAGCCCTCTGTTCCTCCTTTCATGCATCCTTTCAGCCCTCTGTTCCTCCTTTCATGCATCCTTTCAGCCCTCTGTTCCTCCTTTCATGCATCCTTTCAGCCCTCTGTTCCTCCTTTCATGCATCCTTTCAGCCCTCTGTTCCTCCTTTCATGCATCCTTTCAGCCCTCTGTTCCTCCTTTCATGCATCCTTTCAGCCCTCTGTTCCTCCTTTCATGCATCCTTTCAGCCCTCTGTTCCTCCTTTCATGCATCCTTTCAGCCCTCTGTTCCTCCTTTCATGCATCCTTTCAGCCCTCTGTTCCTCCTTTCATGCATCCTTTCAGCCCTCTGTTCCTCCTTTCATGCATCCTTTCAGCCCTCTGTTCCTCCTTTCATGCATCCTTTCAGCCCTCTGTTCCTCCTTTCATGCATCCTTTCAGCCCTCTGTTCCTCCTTTCATGCATCCTTTCAGTCCTCTGTTCCTCCTTTCATGAAAAGAGACTGCAGGGGAGACAGTGAGCAGAGGGAAAGAGGTTGAGCAAGGGGGAAGAGAGTGAGCAAGGGGGAAGAGAGTGAGCAAGGGGGAAGAGAGTGAGCAAGGGGGAAGAGAGTGAGCAAGGGGGAAGAGAGTGAGCGAGGGGGAAGAGAGTGAGCAAGGGGGGAGAGAGTGAGCAAGGGGGAAGAGAGTGAGCAAGGGGGGAGAGAGTGAGCAGGGGGAAAGAGAGTGAGCAAGGGGAAAGAGAGTGAGCAGGGGGGAAGAGAGTGAGCAGGGGGAAACAGAGTGAGGAGGGGAGAGAGTGAGAAGGGGGAGCCCTCCCATCCGCAAAAAGGATCGCTCGCAGCGATTGAAGGGACAATAGGGATGTGAAGGTGAAATTAACGAATGGGACGGTGAAAGAGAGGAATGGGAGGTAAAAAAGGACTTGATTAGGCTGGGAGGCTGGTGGGATGGGAGGAAGGAAGAGGAAAGCGGAGGACTCTGTTTCGCATGGGAGGACCCTGGTTAGAGTGAAGCTTAGGGTGGGGAGACGGGAGGGGGAAAAACGAGGGCGACGGGAGGGGGAAGGCGAGGGCGACGGGAGGGGGAAGGCGAGTGCGACGGGAGGGGGAAGGCGAGGGCGACGGGAGGGGGAAGGCGAGTGCGACGGGAGGGGGAAGGCGAGGGCGACGGGAGGGGGAAGGCGAGTGCGACGGGAGGGGGAAAAACGAGGGCGACGGGAGGGGGAAGGCGAGGGCGACGGGAGGGGGAAGGCGAGGGCGACGGGAGGGGGAAGGCGAGGGCGACGGGAGGGGGAAGGCGAGGGCGACGGGAGGGGGAAGGCGAGGTCGACGGGAGGGGGAAGGCGAGGGCGACGGGAGGGGGAAAACGAGGGCGACGGGAGGGGGAAAGCGAGGTCGACGGGAGGGGGAAGGCGAGGGCGACGGGAGGGGGAAAGCGAGGTCGACGGGAAGCAGGTGGAAGCGGCTCCTTCCGTCCCCCTCGCACCCTCCCCCTCCCCGTCGCTCCTCATTCCAGTCCGCCACGCGCGCGAAATTGCTCCTTGCTCCCGTCCGCCCCTCGCGCGAATCCGCTGCTACCTCCCGTCCACGCCTTGCGATAAACCGCTGCTCCCTCCCTTCCGCGCCTCCCGCGTAATCGCGGCTCACGCCTGCGAAACGGAGCGAAGCAGGGGAAACGGCGAGCATCGAGCGGAGCTGCACGAGTGGCAACGCTGAAAGCGGGGTGCGGAAAGCGGGAGCGAATGCGCTGAGCGGAAAGCGGGGAGCAGGATGCAGCGAGCAAGCGGAAAGCGACGCGCTGGTTGCAGCGAGCAACGAGCAACGCCAGTTCTGCGGCGACCGTCGGCGAGTGGGATGCGACAAGCGGCGACTAGCGGACAGTCGAGCTTCGAGCTGCGAGCGGAAGGCGACACGGAAACGCGGCAATTATAAGACGATAAATGGCGTCAACACGCCGACGAACGATGACTTGAATGGCGAGCTATCGGCCAGCGACGAATTGCGACATTTGAAGTCGTGGCAATTTATCCGTCTGTTTTGACGGATAGCGAGATGCTCTAAACTCTTCGTGAGTAACGCTTCCTAAGGCTAATACGAGGCCGGCCTTGGCTTTTGTGGTTTGGTTGTTATGGTTGAGTTTTGGTACACAAACTCCACTGCGGTACTTGCAAGTTCCCAACCCAAATTCCTTCGCGCGCTACTGGCAGGGGGGAACACCTCGTCACTCTCCGCAGGGGTTAGGGCAAATATTTGTCGCCTCCCACGCCCTACCACAAACCCGGTAACCATCTAGAGGCAAGTGATAAACCTTTGCCTGCACCCCCCCCAAAGTGCACCCTTGCTTGAACTCTGAAAATCAGAGTTTTTCCTGCAGAAATACCACTGCACACTAGAAAAAATCGCATTTTTCCTGTTTTTTTCTCAAAAAAAGGCCGATTTTTCAGAGTTCACTTAAAAAAAAGGCTGAAATATCAGAGTTTTTTGGCAAATCAGAGAAATTTCTCTGACTTCTGGGGGCCTGAAAAGGCTGATTTTTCAGAGTTCACTTCAAAAAAAGGCTGATTTATCAGAGTTTTTTAGGCAAATCAGAGAAGTATGCCAATGGTAACAAAAAAGGGGCTCTTTAATGCGTACAGTAACTATTATGGTATGTTTTCACGCGTTTGGTAACTCGTTTCACGCATTTGGTATCTTGGCACAGGCGAGTGATCACGCGAATGGTAACTACATGAAACTCCCGCCGAAATGATCCTGACTACGAGACATTTGTCGAGATTGAAAAGCTTTTACACACCGTTTTATCTTTCTTGAACGATTCCCGCCGTGACTATGAAGGATCGCGTTTGTTCTATTACCACGGACCAAATAGTTTCAGAGCCGTTTCATATATATTTTAAGCTCGTACAAATAACAGTTAAAATCATATTCTTGTTAGCATGATTTGTCAGAATGTGTAGTTTGTCTAGCCTGCAGTGGGGTACTCTATAGTGAGTACGGCCCCTTAGGGTTTCCTATTTGTATCCACCTGCTTGCTAGTGCAACCCCTCTTTTGCCTATTCTCTCTTGCCTAGCTTGCTAAACCCTAGCTATGGCTCCTTTATTCTAGCTACTGTTTTCTGACATGCTATCAGAGCGGTTACGCTCCTGGCCTGTGGGCCCGCCTGCTTCCGCTGCCATACTGTGTGTCGCGCGCCCCGTGGCGCGTTACGCTCTTTTTTCTTCCCGCCACGCGCTCGGGGCGCGTGGCGGTTTTCTGCCCGCCACGCGCTCGGGGCGCGTGGCGGTTTCCTGCCCGCCATGCGCTCGGGGCGCGTGGCGGTATCCTGCCCGCCGCGCACCCTGGGCGCGCGCGGCGGTTTCGCGTTCCGTCGCGGCGCCCCCCTGTCGACCCGCGCGCCCGTCCCCGTCGACCCGCGCGCGGCTCCCCGTCGCCCTTCGCGGCGGCCCCGTCGACCCGCGCGCGGCTCCCCGTCGCCCTTCGCGGCGCCCCCGTCGACCCGCGCGCCGCCCCCGGGGACCCGCGCGCCCGCCCCCGTCAACCCGCGCGCCCCTCCTGTGGACCCGCGCGCCGCCCGCGGGGACCTCCGCGGCCGCCCCCAGGGACCCGCGCGCAGCCTCCTCCCCGCCCCCCCCGCCCCCCCCTTCTCCTTCGCCTCCCTTCTGCACGTTCAGCAGTGGGGTGGCGGGTGTGGGGGTGGCTAGTATGGGGGTGGCGGGTGTGTGAGTCGTCCCCTGCTCCTCCTCCTCCTCCGTCTCCCACTGCTGCAGCTGCCGCTGAGGGGGGTGGATGTGTGGGAGCCGTGGGAGTGGCGCTAGGGGGGTGTCGTGGGAGTGGAGCTAGGGGTGCAGCAAGGGGTGTGTGAAAGGGGTGTGGGACAGTTGGGGGAGGTTGAGTGGAGGCAGCAGTCTTGTCGTCCGCAGCGCCTGAAGTCCGGGGCCCTTGCCGCTGGTAGCCCAGAGAGCCTGCTGCGCCTGTCGCCCGTGGGTCCGTTGCTCCTGCCGCTCGTCTTAGCCGCGGAGCCAGTTACTCCTGTAGTCCGGGGCCCTTGCCACCGGTAGCCACTGTGCGCGCCGCTCCTGTTGCCCGTGTGTCTGCAGCTTCAGCCGTCGCCTCCCATCTTCTCTCCTCTCACAGTTCCTCCTCCTTCTCACTTGCTCTCTGTGATAGCCTCTAGCTTTGCTTATATTTGTGAACTATGAACTGATGATTGTTGTGCTGATCATACCCCACTTTGACTATGGGGGTGTGTCAGAATGTGTAGTTTGTCTAGCCTGCAGTGGAGTACTTTATAGTGAGTACGTCCCCTTAGGGTTTCCTATTTGTATCCACCTGCTTGCTAGTGCAACCCCTCTTTTGCCTATTCTCTATTGCCTAGCTTGCTAAACCCTAGCTATGGCTCCTTTATCCTAGCTACTGTTTTCTGACATGATTGCATACTTGCAAAACGATAAAAACATTTCCCGGAATGGCCTAGCTTTTTTTTATAAAATTGTACTTACTGCAAGGTTGGATATTTTTGCTTGTGGGAAAATAATACACCCCTTTCGAATGACATGATTTTCTTTAAGAAATAAAACATGCACGCCTTGTCGCAAGGAGTTTAGTGTTGATGCTCTCAAATTCATTTGCCATCTGAAAGGGGTATATATTTGTTTGCCCCGGTTGTACGCTAGAATTAAGTACGAACAGTTTTCCGAAAGAGCGCCAGAATATCAGTTACGTAAGATCAATTGTTTTCACAACAGCTACTTTTCCGTAATTAGTTTGAATTTTGGAGAGTGTGTCAGAATTTCAGAAAGCGTGTCAGAATTTCGGAGAGTGTGTCATAATTTTCTGCTTCAAGATTCGTCAATTTAGTCTGGCGCGAGCGGGAAAAAACAGAATCAGGGTCATTTTGAACGAGGGTTTCTTCTAGTTACCATTCGTGTGATCGGCTGCTAGTGTATAATGTCAAACTGTTATAATGTTTATATTGTGTAGGCTGTAGTGGGGTAGCCCATAAGGGGTACAACACAATTAGGGTTAGTACTTGTACCCACTTTGATCTTAGTTCATCCATTTCTCGTTCAGTATCTTGACATGGTTTCAGAGCAGGTCCTGTTCCAGGACCGTTTTTATTTAGGGCACACCGATTCGTTAGCTGCCCGTAGCGCCCTACCCCACTAGTCGCGCTGCCCTGCTCGCCGCGCGCTGCTCTGCCCTGCCCGTCGCGCCGCCCTGCTGGTCGCGCGCCGCCCTCCCCTGCCCGTCGCACTGCCCTGCTAGCGCCGCGCCGCCCTGCCCTGCCCGCGCGCCGCCCTGCTGGCCGCCGCGTCGCCCTGCCCTGCCCGCGCGCCGCCCTGCTGGCCGCCGCACTGCCCTGCCCTGCCCGCACGCCGCCTTGCTGGCCGCCGCCCTGCCCTGCCAGTTGCGCCGCCCTACCCTAGCTGTGCGCCGCCCCGCCCTGCCCTGCGCGCTTCCCTAGCGCTTGCGCGCCGCCCTGCCAGTCGCGCCGTCCTTGCTTGCGTGCTGCCCTGCTGCTCGCGCGCCACCCTGCTCTGCCCGCTATGGCTACTCTCAGCGTCCTCACATTCGATCCTGAGGGCCGTCCGATCCAGTTCGATACGTGGCTCGATGACTTACAGCTGTTCCTACTGAGCGATTCTAGAGACGGCGTTTTGTTGTTTGACCTCACGTCTGGAGCCTCTCTCGCCCCTCGCGACACAGCTGACAGTGCGACTCGCTCACAGTGGCTTACCCGTGATGCTGCTGCTCGCCTAGCCGTTCGCAACCACTTACCGTTAGCCGAACGCGCTCACTTTGGCCAGCGCAAGACTGCTAAAGCCCTGTACGACGCTGTAGTCGCCCGTTACTCCTCCCCTGCCACTGCAGCTCTCGGCCGCCTTATACTGCCCTACCTTTTTCCCGAGCTGTCCGCCTTTGCTACAGTCGATGACCTCATCACCCACCTTCGCACTAGCGGCACTCGCTACCGCGCCGCGCTTCCCACCAAGTTTCTAGACGAGAACCCTCCCCGCATGTACATCACTCTCTACTTCATAGTCACCCGCCTTACTGACTCTCTTTGCGCAGTCAGGGACCTCTTTCTCGCCATGGACCCCACGGACCTCACTGTCGACCTGCTCGAGAAGCACCTCCTAGCAGCTGAGGCTAGCATAGTCGCTATAGGTGCTGCTCGTGGCACTCCTCGCACTCCCTTCTTTGAGGGGTGTTCCCCCTCCCCCCTTGCCCCCTCTTTCGCTTCTGCTGCTGCTGTTGACTTCCTTCGTGTTGAGGAGGTCGGGGCTGCGTCTGCTCCTAGTGGGAGGCGCCGCAGCGGCAAGGGCAAGGGAGGCAAGGGTGGTGGGGGTGGCAGTGGTGGAGGCGGTGGTGGGGGCGGTGGAGGCGGTGGAGGTGGCGGTGGTGGCGGAGGGAGTGGTGGTGGGAGTGGAGGCGTTGGTGGCGGCGCTGGTGGCGGCAGTGGGATTGGTGGCGGCGGTAGTGGTGGCGGCAGTGGGAGTGGTGGCGGCGGCAGTGGTGGCGGTCAGGGTGGAGCCGGTCAGAGGGGAGGTTCTGGCGGTGGTGAGAGGCAGCAGCAGCAGCGTCTGCGTGAGACCCCTATGCCCCAGGAGCTTCGTGAGTGGTTTGCTCAGCGTGGGGCGTCTGGGGGTGGTGTTCGCTGCCAGTACGTCATTCGCACAGGTGA